CCGAATTCGGTAGATATAAGTAAACATTTAATTTGATAGCCGCTCTTTGATCTAGAAGATGATTGGATCCTCCATAACCAATCAAATACAAAATAGGCAGTTCCCATTGACCAATCATATTTATGATTTATTAACAACATAAACATTCAAAGAGAACTGTGAGGGCAGAAGAGGGCATTGAAGATGTGACTTTTTGTTTAGATGTGTCATGGGAATCAGTTCATGCCGTTGATATGGCACCATCTGTTCTCACCCTTTTTTTCGAGTTGTCATTTAGCTGTCACTCAGCGTTTCTACGTATGCTGGGTACTTTGACCAGAAGGTGGACATGCATAATGCACTGAAGCCATTTCAATCATATCAGAGTATGTCCCCATTAGTTCTGTTTTTGGAAGAGTCGTCGATAGGTGGAGTGGCTGAAGTATTGAATGTAGACCAATCCACGGGTCCCCTTGGCTACAAATGGTACTGGAGACAGTGAAAATAAAAGGTGATTCCTGAGAAAAATCGTAGAGAGTGGGCAAAAGAGCAATAAAGGGGATGTTGAAGCTGAGTGATGTATCGGCTCGTGATAGTTTAGGGCCTAGCAAAGAGTGTGGTATGGGGGATTGTCGACAGAAAAGCATCAGATCGACAGCCAATGGATGCGCAGTCTGTAGCCGCTACGAGGATAAAGGCCTTTCAAATAAGGAAGATCATCCTGCGGTTTGACAAAAGTTTTTGTCCATTTAAAAGTGCTGACTCTGTTAACTATTTAACTTGCACCTTAAATGGTTGGTTGGAAAACCAGTAATTACAAATGCTCTGCTTCTTGATTTGACATATTCCCTTTGACAGATGTTTCATAACTTAATTGGCAAAGGGATGTGAACTCACCCTGGATCCCCTAAGCCAAACCACGCACACCATCACACACCCTTTGTATTAACAAGGGGGGTCCTTGGACTAGGTGGTTTTACCCTTACCGTCCTTCGGACCAACTTCGTCGTAACACCAGTAAACTTTACCACCTAAAAGTTTGTCAATTTTTCCCAAATTTCTATCCAAATGCACCTAAAATTTAGTCTTTTTCCCATTAAACTTGCCTACATTCCAAGGTAGGACTATAAAAGGTGGGAATACCTCTAGGTTTAATGTCACTGCAGGGACATTTTTGAGGAAGGAAAAGGTTGCAGAATATACTTGTCAGAATGTGCCTTCACATGTTGCTTCTTTTCCGAGGTCTATTCTACTTCCCCAATCGGTCGACCTGATTGTTTGCCTAGTTCACTCTGTGTGTAGACGTTTCCTTCAGCATTGGAGGAGGTAAAAATCTTCTAGCCAATTTTTGGCCTTAGCGGATCGTCGAAGCAGAAAAAAAAGGGGACAAGGAGAGACCAGACTTCACTGCTTCGGAATCAAAATGTCATGCTAGGGTAAAGCACCTTACCAACTTCTTCATCAATCTCCTGATTTCTACAGGAGGTTCGTATTAGCTGTGAGGAAAAAAGATGGGAATGCTTTATCTGACATAAAAAAATAAATAGAAAGAAGGGGAAAACTGAGCCCAAGCCGGTGATCTAGGGGTATACTCTCACGGGAAAAGTGGTCAAAGTCGTATGATCGAAGGGACTTTACGCATTTGTAATGGCTAGTTGATGTGAAAATGGGCTTTTTAAGGAAAGACTTCAATTTTAGGTTTATGAAGGAAGAAGTTTATTTTACTGGGCTACACTTCAAGCGGACTTTTCCGTATTTATTTGTAACATTTAAACTAGGGTAATGCACTACCTTTACTTCATCACTTCACCACAGTCCCGAACGCGTAGGATAGAACATTTTTAAACTGGCTGATTGTACAGTTTGTGATTCGGAGTACAAAATAACTGTGAAAAAATCCACTTGGAGTTACGGCAATTTACGCGAATGCGTGGAATGATTTAGTGAAATCAACGCCCCGGAAGGCCTAGAAGTTCACAACAAGTGCGCGGAGTGTTATGAAGGCCCGCCTAGTTAAAAAGTCAGTTAAAACAAAGGGCGTTTAGTTATAAAATAAATCAGAAAAGGATACAACTCCATAAAATAATTTAAGGTTTTTTAATAAAGCATTGATTAATGCTGCTTTACCGGATTCATTTGAACAATATACTACTTGAATAGCTATAAAGGTAGTATGTTGCTCACAAAGCAAAGGTATTTAAAAATAGCCCCATGGCTTTGATTTTAATTTTCACTGAGTAAAACAAATTTTGGGGGTCTTAAAAGGTCAAAATATTGTGGCAACCAAAGCAGCTAACGTACCTTTGTCACGGGGGAGGGGGGAAACAGAAAGAGCCTAAGAAGTGAATGCACGTTTGACGTTGGACAGATAACTACGGTACCACCGAGGTACACTTCAATCAAAGCCGCGTTTTAGCACTTAAATTTGACGCTTTGGGTTGTGGTTGTTTTGCCGTCACCGTTGTCGTGCCAGAAAACATGGTAAATGTGGTGAATTTGCTTGGAAGGTAGAAATGCGTAGGTCATCAATTCCACTCTAGTTTGTTGCGAATTAAATGCGCAATATGTTGATGGAGGAAAAAGAAGGTTTTTCTCTTTGGTTTTACTTCCTTTAATCATTTGCGCTTGCAGAGCCTGTGTGTTTGTGCTCCATATTTAAATGAGCACCAATCCCATTTACTTATTTCAGCTCAGGTGACCCTGACCTTTTAGGACTTGGAAGCCAAAAAAGAATATGTCACCACGTCTTATCGGTCAATAGGGTGACCTAAAAGCGGAAAGGAAGGATCAACCTTCCAAACAAGAGTTTTCAAAAAGTTAAGACGGAAATGCTTTGATCTGTTCTGCCACTTTTCCTTTCTCCTTTTCTACAATTCTAGGGGCTTTACAATTTCCCACGAGTACCTTTTGATCTGCTTGTGTGGTAAAAAAGTTTTTGTAGCTATGAGACTTTTCAAAGAAAGCACACCCTTTCTGTATAGTACTGTGCAACTGTAACCTCTCCCTCATTAAAAAGAAATGGAAATATCTTTTGATAGATCTTTAACACTTTGATTGCCTCGTATTTAAAAAGGGGATTAAGGGTTGCACCTTGAAAGACAAAGGTCAAATTAACTGCAAGAAGGCGAGAGGAGAGATGTAACCACCTAGACTTCTATCATATAAAAAAGAGGTAATCCTAAAAAAACACGAAAGTCTCACATAAGACTTTTTTATAAAAAAGGCTACAGTACTCCGGGAGAGCATACTTTAGGAGGAGGCCGTGGAACAGAATTTGGCCTGTTTCCTGACACTTTCTGCCCCTACAACTTCAGTCAGCAGCATATTTGACTCGAATATCATGAAAAAAAAAGGCTATTTGACTTCCTTTTTTCCCTGAGTTTTAAGAAGCGGTTTTTGATAAATGCACAATCTAGATACTAGTTTAAGTTGCTTCAGGAGATATTTCACGAGGAAGTCACCTCCTCTGTGAGGGGTTTACATGGAAAGATTCTTGCAGCTTCCTAAGCCACTCATAAATCATTGGCTGGGCACATCTTTGAGGAAAAAGGAGGTTACAATTTGGCTCAGAAAGTGGAACAAGAAGAGTGGGATGGAGGTATGTGCCATTGAGGTGGGTTGGGGGTCGAAGGAGGTAGACCTTCGCGTGGACGGATGCACATCCGCCTGAATGCCGCCATTTCAGCCCTAAGTTTAGCCGGAGAAAGTGAAATGAAGCACATGAATTGGTAAAAGTTTATATCAAATAAGGAAACACCTGAACTAGCTTCCTAAAATATGGCAAGACTAACAGTGACCAGTCAGGTGGTGGAGTCGTTTTCACCCCCATAAATCTGCAGAAATGTGCAAACTTTTTAGCGGTTTTTTAGCATAATTGTTACCAAATTAGTTACGCGTTTAGCGAATTTTATGTCATAACTAATGACGATAGCTTCACGATAAGCAAGAAAGGGTGTAACACCACCTAGGACATGGCACTTTAGTACATTGGAGAGGTACCGATCGACTTTCATCTCCTGCCCACGCAAAGTACCGGCGGACGGTTTCGCTTATTTGGCGTCGATTTCCGATTTGATAGTTAATTAGATCAAATTCTTGGACAAACTATTTTTATTCATTTAAGGAAGCAGAAATTTTTTATACGCTTATCCTTCGGACCACACCAATGGCTCGGACACTCGGGAAACTTCATTGCTGATGCTCACTTCAGATCGGTCAGTCAATCAATCAGCACCCCATGCTTTGTTGCGATCTTCTCCTACTTTTCATATATTTTGAATCTCCCTGACTTAAAATCTTAGTTGATCCGCAGAAAAACCTCGACAACATTGTTGCTCAGCATAGAGAAAGTGTGTGGTAGCATAACACACTGTCTGAGATGGTCTAAGGGAGGCGTGCTATTCAGGAAGAGAGAGAACGCACCACCTAGAGAGTGACTCGTGTCACGGGTGTGGAACATTCAGTGGGTTCTGAAATATTCCTTCAAGGTAGAGCCCTAAAGAGAGGTGAGAGTCACAAGCACTTATTGAAAAGACTGGCTAATTTGCTGTTTGCCTCTTCTTGCGGGATGAAAACATGCTGTGTACTTTTGACTGTTTGCTAACTGACTTCTTAACTTGTGATGGGCCGCCTTATCTGTGTCTACTGTCTACCTTGCTAAATCAGTCTTTTGGGGTAAGGTGACTTGTCAAGTTTCGTGCACACTCGTAATATAGCCTTATTTATCCATCTAAAAGAACTATTTGTAATACGTTTGCAGTTTTTTTAACACGGAAACCTGTTTCTGCTCTAAGATCCCACAATAAGGGTGTGCTCTTCCAAAGAATGGTTGCGGAAAGGACGCTGAATTACTAGTCAGTAGTCCAAACGAAAAGTAATAAAAGTTAGTCAAAAGTCAAGACAGGAGATCTAAGGTCAAGTGGTTAGAAGCAAACTAACCATTCCGCTGGTACCCAGTGCCCATTATTTAAAGCAAACACCCTGACTGCAGCTTTTCTAATGTTAAATGCGCCAAGCTAATTATGTCGGTCGGTTTCATTACTTCAAGATGCAAATGTAAGCAGCTTGAAACTATTGAAAAGCAAATTCATCTTATAACCTATTTGGAAAATTTAGCAGAAAGGTAATACAATTCTATCCATTCTTGAATTCCATTAACAACTCCACGTGGCTCCACACCAACTTAACATTTGAAGCTTGTCAATTTTCATTCAGGAAATCACATTTTAAAGTATAAGGTTAATCAACATACGTTATACTTTTACTTGAGGTTCTGTTGATGCCTTTTAAATTGTGTCAGATGACAAGATTCATTAGTAAAATATACCTTCAAAATTGATCCATTTGGCTTGACACCTCCCTCATTATTGATGTTTGAAAAGTGTAGGTCTAAAATTCTCTCCCAAGTTCCCTTATTGCAGTTTCATCTCTTACATGCTCTTTAAAGTGACTTGTAATTCCATAGGATACCGAAGGACTACAGCCGGTGTCGTTAACTTCCACCCTTCAGTCTATTATTCATTCAGGAGGCTAATGTTTCATAGTCAATTCCCACTTCATCCTAACCCATGTCGCTAACCCGGACGTGTTATCCCATCTACGTAGTCATTAATCATACTGGACTGTCGGAAAAGTGCCCAAATTTTGGTTGTTCGGTTGAAGAGACCCGCCCTCTATTTCCCCCCACCTTGAACAGACACCACCTTTGCCCTACGCAACGAGGTAGTAGTAGTAGCCTCATTGCGAAAAAGACGAAATGCCTAATTGCAACCTAACTGCCATCTTGCATTTGATTCGTGCCTTCGCATGTAAGAGCTAAAAAATGCAACCGATTCGATGCAGTGTGATCTGGCTAATGCCAACTGCGAATTTGGCAGTCTTCGGGGTAAGAAGCGGAAACAAGTGGAGTTCCACTCTAGAGAGGTTATACACCCAGTATGTTATGCTTTAAAACTCTCAACTGTAATGCCTATTTGCCATTTTGTTTAAAATTTGGTCTTCCGTGCTATTTTTTTCCTTGAGTAAGTGGACACGGATTTGCCGGAGTTCTGAGCAAGAACCGATCATCGCAGCGCATATACTATGGTGTCATAAGAAAATATTAAAAACAATTAAAGACAAGCGTACAAATGACTTTTAAAAATTGTGAGAATTCTAGGCTTACTTTGTTATTTTCCGCTCAGTTAGTCTGTTTACAGCGCAAATTGATATAGGGCATATGTCACATATACGTGACAGAGGTGCCAAATACATATTTGCATTTGACAGCATGAAAACCTTCTAACCAAAATTGATTTTTGATAGAAAATTTATAAATGGTTTAAAAAGTGCTTAAATGAATCAGCAAACAGCTTACATTGTTCAAATAACCGATTTGTTATCATTGTCACAAAGAGGTGACGTTAGTGGTTTGTAATAAATAACTGCAAGAAATGGTCTTTCTAAAACAATGTGTTTACTTCTAAGACAAAAAAGAGTGCTTTTTGGTCTTTTGAGGGCAGATGCGCCTTATTTACTGCCACTGGAGCGACTAAACTTTAAGTTGGAGGGGTTGTTTTGCCCACAGACGCAAGCCCTGGTAACAAAGTTGTAAACAAATCCTAACATCCAAAGATTCCAAAAAAATATGAACTCTAAAAATTCTATTTTGATGTCTTTTTTTGTCCTTACAGCCTTGTTGTCACTCTTTACTTCTGCATAAACAGAGATGGCAGAGGGAACAGCGACGCGGGAATAATGTCAGCCTAATTAGTAGGAACAGAAGACACTTTTTCCCAAGCAAAACCATGAAATTAACAACTGGTCGCTTTTTGAACCATTTGTTTTCTTTTTCTTCGGTGCTTAAGCTTTTGTCACCTTGATAGTTAATGAGAGTGTTCCTATCCCCACATTTCAAGGTTTTGTCACTTCGTTAATCTGAAGTACTTTGACCCACTTGCAGTAGGAGATGTCAGGTGCCAAGAGATTATATCACAAGTTAAAAACCAGTTCTTTCACGATCGACTTCGATGCTCTTGCATCTGACCTCACTTCTCCTTCCACTATGCAAGTTTCTAGACTTGAAACTTATATTTGCTCTTCCCTATGAATCAGTGTAAATTGAGTTTTCGGCAGTACAATGAAAGTTAAGGTAGACTCGTGTAGTTAAGTGTATAGATCCCATTCTACCGTTTTCTTCTGTCAAACTTCTAGACGGACTGAAGTCTCGCAGCCTCGAGCTAGCAGCTTTTGACTATACCACCTACCGTCTGATGACCACCACCTCTCAACCTCCCCCAACTCCTACCCTCCCAAGATGCAGTCCTCGTCAACGTCAAAACACCTTCAGTATAGAGGGCGACTACGAGACCCCTGAGAAAATTTGGCTGCGAGCTCAACGCCTCTCCGCAATCCGACGCGCCGAGAGCGCTCATTTGACTACACCTAGTCCTCGAGGTGTCAGTCGAAGCCATTCAAGTGTCTCGCAGACCCACTTTGACCTTGACGCGACTCCTAAGGCTTCCCCTAGTGCTCACAGTGAAGCGACACCAGAAGCACAATTTGGTGCTCGAAGGCGAGCGCCACTGATGCGAGTCGAACTGAGGCCACCACTGTGCCAGAGAAAACGGATTCAACCAGTGAAGGCGACGAAAGCGGGGGCGGAGAACAGCGCAACACAAACACTGGAGACGATTTTACGCAAACGAACGGGTGTAAGTTTCATCAATCATAAAACTAAAGAAGTTGTCCATTAAACAAAAACCACTGACTTAGGCTTCAAAGACTACCGACTTCTTGCGTGCATGTTGATAAAGCGCGGCACTTCTGTAGATTGTTTGCTCACCAATCGAGTTGTGCTGAAAACTGGATTTTGAATCACAACGTTTATTGCACGCTGCAGACTAGAGATCTATTGAAAGCAGAAATTTGGAGCTAGGATTCATTCGCTGGGTAGGATACAACTCGGAGGTGCTCCAGCAAAGCTTTCTCCTCATTTGCAAATAGGAAGTCCTTTCTCTAGTCAAGTATCTCTCACCAACGTGTAACCAAGAAAGGAATGCAGCTATTGCTCCATCCCACATCTTGCCTATTGTCCTCGTACCCTTCTAAAGGCTGACATTCTTGCAAAAATTAGAGGAGATGGAAACAAAAGTGACAAGGGCAAGGGCTATGGTGTTTGCTCATGAGAACAAGTCGTTCCTTCTAGGTAGAATTTGCAATTTGGAAAAGATTCACAGGTAGTTATGATTACTTTATAGCAAAACAGTTGTATACGGCTTACAAAAGCATTTTTGTAATACAGATGTTGAATTCATAAGACTCAAAGCTGCTACAAAATTTATCTACTCAAATTGGTTACTAGTAGTATTTACAACAAGATAATTTCAAATCGGAAACTTACTCATTAAGTTAGGTAGACTTAAGTTAAAAGACAAAAATATCATTCATTTAAAAAAAACCTGCGTAGCAACTTACTTTACAGTGAATTTTTGTCAAGGAATTAGGAAAAAAATCATTAATTTTCAGGGCGAAATCCTTGGAACCACCTGGAATGCGTGTATCCAATTCTAAAGCAGCCCACAGGTATCTGATGATTTGAAAGGTTGCCCTTCCTCCACCGCCGCGCATTTTACAAACAAACTTCAAAGTAAATCTCCTTCCGGAAGGTTATTTACACGATCAGATTGAAGTAACGATGTGCGAAACAGATGTGGAGTGACTTTGTCAATAAGCCAAATTGTGCGCTTTACGAAAGAGAGGAAAAAATTAAGTGAAATTGCTTTAGCTTGCTAATAAAGTGTGCAGATTTGGGCTATGATAAAGATTAAATTCTTTGTAGTATGTTACGTGGATATAAGAAACAAAAAAAGTTGGGAACTATTGGAACCCAATCGAGTTAATTCATCTCTGCGCCAAATTTGACGTATGATGTGTACTGAAAGGTGCAACTGTTGCGTGGTTTTCCACCCAAAGAGGTGTATAAATAGACGCAACGAGTGGACGGATTCACTTACACCATCTTCTTTGCCATGCCCCTTACGTCCTACTTACTGGCGGTGTATTAGGCACAAATCCTCTATTCAGTTAACAATGCATCTTACAAAGCACCTCCGACGAACTAACTCCTCATCCTCCGTCCCCCCTCCACTCATTAATATGAGATCCGGCCCGCCTGGCTGGACATCCAGCCCGACTGTCTATTTATACATCAGCTACTCATCAGTTGGTGAGCTTTTTCTCCATCTTGTCACATTCATCCTTCCATCCACCTGTGGATCCGAAAATTGAGCCGATCAACAACTTGCCGCCTGGTTTAACACTTAGGGTCATCCCCCTTCAAAACTTGCACCCTTTTTACATCTTTAAGGTACCCTGATTGTCTAGACGCCTAGCAGATAGGAAGAAAGTAGTTTTTAAAAACCATGAAACAAATTAAATGCGAACCAATGGCTAAAAATATCAAGCGAATTCCGCAGGTAATTTTTTATGACTTGCTAGCCACGAAGTGACCACTAAATCGGCTGCACTCTGAGTAGGCAGCCCTTCAAAACGCCGTCCACTTCAGGAGAAAACCGACCTAATTCAAGCAACGCTAGGGCCTATAAATATCCTAATTATAGCAGTTCAGATGGCAAAAACTTGAGATTTCATCCAGTAATATTACGCAATGTGATAAAAACCCGCCTTGGCATTGGAGAGTTATATGAGAAAGCAGCGGATCTCTGGAGAAGTGGGAAAAAAAAGTAAGATAAAAGGAGGGCACCCAAGTGCAGGTCATGTGACCTTCAGGAAGAAAAAGTTCCTCTCCTTTCCTCCACCCCTTCTCTCCACCAAATTTACATCGCCTTGAAAAGGTCCAACCAACTGGAACGCCTCATTTCGAAGTTTTTACCTCCTATACTGTACAAAACAGACCCAACACACGTAAGTCGGTATCAAGTGTGTAGGTACGTGCATGTGCAAAACAGAGCGGAGGTGGGCCAATAGAGATTTCAAACGTAGTGATTGGTTTGCACACCTTGGACAATTTACAATAAACTTTGGACTATTCACCTTGGTCACATCAATGCACTCCTTACGACCTGACAAAACGGCCAGTAAGTCGGTAGGTAGGTAGATAGTCGAGGAATTATTAATTCGTAAAAACGATTAAAAGTGGAAATTTTTGTGTTTCTCTCATAGAAAGAAAGATGTTTTGAAGGAAATGCCATGTTTCTCACTAATTTATCCTGCTTTGGACTTGTTCTGTCAATTCGCCTTTTGTAAATCAACTATTTAAACAATCCAGGTTTTGTTTTCGTTTTTAGTATTGAATAAACTTCGATTAAAAAAGATTTGAAATTTTCTATTGGTTGTCAAATTATTTAAATCCGTTGAAGGGTTGATACTCCTCGGCTATGGATTTATCGATGAAGATGAGGAAGTGAAGGCTCTGCCGGCCCTTAAGGCGCATTAAGTGGATGATGTACCCCATGGACGATGTCCAAATGATTCCTTTTGACAGTTAATCAGCCAACCATGTTTGCCATATCTGAAAAGTGCATCTTTTAAATGTCACAGGTATATGAACTAGAGGAGCCACTAATGGCCGGTCCCAGTAATCTCCTTCAGGCCCTAAAAGAGGTTAAATTCGCCGAGAAGGAACAATTAGATCGAGCGCCACAAGCGGAGCCTCCACGTATCACTCTCTTTGATTTAATTGCCGAGAAGGAGCGTCGACATAAAGCACGATCGCCACCTCCGGTGCCACCGAAACCGGTGCATCGATTGGCGGCAGCAGTAGCGGCAGCAGAAGCCACATCGACGACGAAGTCAGTACAGCAAAGTGAACAAAGTGTGAATAACTCGGTGCCTAACACTATAGAAGATCATAAGCCCTCCACACTGTTCCAGCCGACCACACCACCTTCGTTACCATCGCCACCGAGATGTGCGATGCTGAGAAAGATCTCGGGGAGGGACCAAAACGTCTCAGGGACAACGGTGGTGATAGCAAAATGTCTGTAAGTCAATGAGCTCATCATCAGTATCACGGCAGAAGGTTTTCTCAAGATTCAAGTTAAAATCAACTGCTATGCATACATCTGTCGCTAAAATAAACAAGGCTGAATAGTGATAAACTGTTAGGTATTAGCCAGTTGCTGGTGTTTGGTCGTTGATGGTCAACTGAAAAGACAAACAAGAGGACAGCTCAGATGCAAATTGACATAAATTCAGAGAGTTAGCCGGATAAACAGATAGGCCGAGACATGGAGGTGAATATATAGATAAATAAACAGAGAAGCAGACGAGTAGACATATAAATGCGTATACAAAGCTACACGTAGACAAAATGGTAGGCAAGCCGACTTCCAGAAAAGTGGAGTTATAGAGGCAAACGGATTGAAGCAGGAGGAAACGGCCAGAGTGACAGGTGGGTAGATGGATAGACCTGTATGTTGACAGATTGTAACGTAAACATGTGAATAAACAGAGTGAGCGGTGAAATGAACCGCTGTTTAGGTAAGCTGCAAGGGGAGGCAGTTTAGAATCACATCTTTCTATGTATCTCAAATAAACAATCCAGCGCTCTTTCGAATGGACATCCAGGTGCTATATGCACTGCAACCACTTTCACATGAGCTAACAACTCAGGTCAGAGGACTCAACTTTGGGGAGAAGGCAGCCAAAGGCTTAGGATGACTTGGTCACGGAACTCCCTTGCTCTCCACCACTTCCCGGTTATTTTGAACTTCTTCCAGCATGATTTATTGAATAAACCTGATGAAAGTGCTTCTAGCTTGTCCACTTTTCGAACCGTGGTCAACTCGACTTCAAGGAAGCAGAGGTTTCTCGTAGGTCTTGGAGGTGAGTTATGAGCTAGCAGAAGGAACCACTCAAAGCTGAATCCTCTATTATTCAAGAAAACGGCCTTCCTTTGATAAGGAAGACTTAGGAGATAAAAAACCCTTACGCCTTCATCAGCGTTGAGAGATCTTCAGTCGACTTGAAGACCGACGAAAAGTGGCAACAACTTTCGAGCCCTTTTAACCTGCTCTATAACAGCTCACTGTGGATTGTTTGGTTGACAACTAAGTGATGGGCATTAGGCTCCTCCAGATAACTCGATACACCTCAATACAACTCATAAGTATGGAGGAAAAACTTTGTCCTTAGAAGCAGCAAGGACTAGCCAACCAATGGGAAGCGCCTCCTCTTCTAATCCTACAGGATAAATCAGGCTCTCAAGGTTGCAAAATTTGCTCATGAGAGAACCACACACGGAAGTTTATGCGAATCCACCTCTGATGTCACCTGATTGTCACCTTTCGTCAACAGTAAACAATCACATGCGACGCAGAAGTGAAGCAGAAACGGAGGGGAGGGTAATTTTCCTTCTGAAGACAGAAGAGCAGCAACAACCGTATGCCTCGGGTCTCGATAGCATTTGAGCACTTCGTAAGGGACTCCTTCAGAGAGATACAGGCCACTCGTTCAGTCTGCCGTGCGACTACCATCAGTTAAGAGGTCTGAATGTCAATCACAACAGTGATTCAAATGCCTTGCAGAAGAAGAAATAAGGCATAACGTAACCCTCATCCCGTTAGCTGGGATTTTGACCACTGCTAGCACCCATTTACCAGAACATTTCCTCACTTTGGAAGACAAACCGTCATAGACGGTGATTTGTCTCCGTTGTGACAGAAATCAAGGAGCCTGTGCTTGTCCAGTCACTGGATTTTTTGATGATTAAGGCCTTAACTCTATCCACGTTCTAAAGAAGAAGGATTTAAAAGTCACGTAACCTAAATCGCCACTTTTTCTCCTTCAAAATCTCTAGACAGGAAGTTTGTCTTTCAGAAATAGAAAATAAAAGCCGTCATGGCATCCAACCTACATTGCGGCATTGCCAACAAGGCAGAATTGCACTGACCCACCAGGTCATTCTTTATTAAGGTTGAAGGTGCGTGGCAATCAGGCGGATTGGTGCCTCTGTTTCCCTTCTCTCGATTTAACGCACTGCCTGCATCACTCGTGCAGTTCGTTATTTCGTCTTTTTCTCTCCGCTTCATCCACCTAAGCATAGCCTAGAAGGTTGTTCTTCTCTGCCTTACGGAACGAGGGAAAGATTTTGTGGGTTTTTTAGTTGTAGCCTCAATAAAATGACCTATAGGACATTGCAGAGACGTGTCAGATGTGTACGATCGTCTATCTGACTTGTTATCGTCCTGTCCATACGTCCTGCTTCCTAATTCCACTCTGTACTGTTGACTTTTTGATTTGATTCTCCGCTTCATGGAAGTCAAATCTGGTGGGAAATTTCTTCATCAACACGTATGTTGTGCAGCATTTGACGAAGGTGTGGACCATACCAGTAGAACGAATCATCCAGAAATGTCACTTTCTGATCTCCCCTTCATTTCGAGGGCACCGTAGGCGATGGCTGAGCTTTGGTAAAGGGACATTATATTTCATGCTAACAGATAATCAACATATAGTTTATTAATTTGCCAGACTTTTTTCTCTAAACCTTCCTCTGTCTGGAGGTGTCTCTTGGAGCAATATGCGAGACAAATGGGAAGGGGGGGGAAGTAGTAAACCGGTTGATGCAGAAACAGCAGAATGAATAGGAGGGAAATGTAATGATACGGCTTAGAGACTTCCCTTTCAAATGTCTTTTTGCATTTGATAAACGTCAGAATTTTAAAATAACGCAGAAACATTTTACGATTTATTTATACTTTTTCTGCTTTGATAGACACAAGTTTTTTGATGGGATTAAATTGTCCCATACATGCTCTCACCCCCGTGCATTATCTCCCAGTATAATTTGTAAACGAGCTTCCGTTAACCTTGCAGCAATACTTATTAGGAAAATGCCTAAAATTACAATTTAAGATCCAAGCTCCCGTCTGCACTACTAATTAATCTAATAAGTAGACCCCATTTCCCCCTTATGTTGTAGATCCGAACAGGAGAGTAGGAAGGAGAGCACACCACCGCTCATCAGCGATAACCCGTTTGTTCGGTGGGATCGTCTCAAAACGTTGCCTTCTAACAAACCACAGCAGGATGTAAGCGTTACTTATCGCCTATCAATCAAACTATTCCTTTAGAATGTTCTTTACTCCTTGACGTTCTCAAAACAATGTGACATTACAATGGTCATATTCCAACGTGGTGTCTGGAAAGTTGAAAAGGAAATATAATATCAAATAGCTAATAAGGTGAATAAGCCAATATTGCAGTGTTTTTGGAAATATGGCTCAAAAATTTGCAAATTCAGCAAAATTTTGTCAAATGTGTCATTAAATTGTGAGTGGTTTTATACCAGAACATTTTAATTCCCAGATAGCATATCTTTGTGTGAAAGATGCCTGACAAAATGCTCGAATGGCCAAGGGTTGTGCACGGAAGAACTTGTTAATTGTCCCATTGGACATTTTTATCCCTTATTTCAAGAAAACTAGGTGGATGACCATGAAAATAATTTATTAATATACTTGTCAGTGAAATCTTGCAAAAAATCTCGTCTGATTGTTATGTTCCCTATCAAGAATATTAACATTCTGTACAGTGAAATGGGAGGCAGGGTTTCAAGCTAAAGGAAGTGGCAAAAAAGTGTAGGAAAAATCCTCCCAGTTTATCACCTCCATGAGTGGAATTGTTCTTAGTTACACATACCCAAGTCTTTTAAAGGAATTTTTCATCATGTCAGATCAGACAAAGTTTTCTTATTAAAATGACCAGTGTCAGATGCACGGTACAGTGGGTAAACCTCATTGATACGAGGTCCAGCTTGGAAGGAGTGGTGAAGTGGATGCATCCATACATCTACATGAGATATAAAGTTTTGAAATGAACATAAGTCGGTTATTACTCTGTTTATTGCCATTATCTCCGTCACTTGGATTTCTCCTACATGGAATGTCGGTGAAACCTGGTGGATGCAGTTTGAACTCGTCTGTTTACCGATCTGCAGTCTGTAGAAACCTCTCGTCGAATGTAAAGAGAGGGTAGCGGAGCACACCACCAAGATTCGGGTGATATATCGAGGGCGCTAGTGCAACACGTTCAGGCAGATCCTCTACACTTAATCATGAAGCAATACATTTGTCTTATATTCATTGTAGCACAAACTGAATTGCTCTCTTTAGAAGGTCTTGCCCAAAGCCCAAGCAATCGTCTTTGAGATCTGCTACATCCAACTCAGTATACCTTGATGCAACTCAAAATGGTTCAGTAAAACCTCCTTATATTAAAATATTTGAAGCTAATCAATCAGCGGGAAGCATGTGCTTTCCCCAACATAAGAAGTCAGCAAATAACTTATCGTAGAAAAGACCTCACACCACACCTCAGGATAGGAGTAAGATCTGGCCTCATCTCCACTCTTTACCACATTCTTTTCATATTCTTCATACTAGACACTCACACGTGAACTGCGTCATTGGGAAACAAAAGCGGGGTGTAGATGGAGTTAGTCAGGTTTTTTCTTTATAAAATGGACTTCTCAGCAGACTCGGGTCTCCTTTTAGAATGACTGGTAGTTTTTTAACGAATAAGAAACATTTATCTCAAGTTTTATGCAGTCATTTGATTTCGGCTTTACTCTTCTGATTTAGGAAATTAACCCAACTTACTTTGTCTCCCATAGGCAGGATCAAACCACCACTTTTTGAATAAGAATTGCAGAGAAAATTGTCATACCTATCATTTAGGTAATGCTTGAGCCGTTGAGGCTTGCAGAGGAGCGAAAGGGCTTAAAGACAAGTTGCCTGCACAGTAGAACATCCCCATTATGAAGAATTACAGGGGATCAAAAAGTCCAGAGGAGCTAAGGGAACCTATTCCATTCCTTTAAAATAACCAACACTTAGTGGTGTGCTAGAGAATAAAGGAAAATATACAAAGATGGTTCTTCCATCTCTGCTACTCCTCTAGATTTCTCTTTCACCCCAAAAATCGACCAAGGGAGACAGACCAACTCCTGGTACAGAGGGACCGGCCTCTCCTGGCTCCAGTGGTGCCGGTACTGAGGCATTCGACGAAGACGGCTTCATCACAGCCTCCGCATCAGCAACCACCCCTACAAGCACTTCTTCCTCCTCATCTACCACTTCTGTGAATTCCTCTTCCTCACCTTCAATGGATTGGCCACATCCGGACAAAATTACTGCTCGTCCACTGTCGCATCAATGCTCACCCGACTCTTTCGATGATATCCATTCGCGTTCGAAACCGAACGAGGTGGATGGAGATCTCGGAGAAGGGGGAATCATCCATGGTAAGCAGGAATGGAGGTATTCAGTCGATGAGTGAATGTGAACTACATAATCATTAAGTTGGGGGCTTATGAAGACTTGACGGAAAATTTTCTGGACCCATTTGCCTTAGGAATCTTTTCCTGGGGTTTTATATTTTACTGTCAGTTATCGAATCACAGAATTATGGAACCTCTGTTGAGAAGCAGCTATTAGGAATGAGGAGGCGGATTGGAAGAGCCTTCGTCCCTTCAATAACGTTAACGAATGAATGTCTTCCTGAAATGGAAGTAATTGACCCACTTGATGTTGTGTAAGATTTTATGGAAATGAAAAATCCAAAATAATTTGTTTTTCTTGGTGCTAATGAAGAAGAGGAGAATTTTGTCACTCCGTAGTATCTCCGACGATCGCCTCTCCATAAAATTTCACAGACTATTAAAGTTGCCCCTGGTGAAGTGAGATAAAAAGCATAAAATGAATATTTCGCGAGAAAATTTGGGTCCTCTCCTTTCCATGTAAGGTGAAAAAGCATAAATTTATCGACTACACACTCATAAACTGTACATCTTACAAGCATCCGACTCTTTCAGTCCTCTTTTAATAGTAAAGAAGTTGGTATTGCAGAGGCTCTAAAGATCGCTTTAATTGGGGTCTCTCTGGCATTTCAGTTTTTCAAAATTTGGAGAACTTTAATTAGAAAGTTGTGCATACTTCTTCCTGTCTTCTCTACAATAGCATTCAGAGAAGCTGGGTTAGGAGAATTCATAACTCAGAGGTCGTTTAGAAGAATGAATATCCTTTGACGAGTCAAGAATGATGTAGAATTTCAGGTTGCCGCTAGTTCAAACTCCTCAGGGACAACAACTTCCAGTAAACTTTGAGGCAAGTAGTGAATTAACTGGTTAACATCCCCATAAACTGAGAAAACCCTAGATACGGGGTGCATGGGACCAAAGTAATCGGGATTAAGGTTCCCAACTTACTTAAAAATAACTCACTTTTATAAAATATTTTTTAATCAGTAGAGTAGGGGGACGGAGAGAGAGAGGGGGGAGGATAAAGATAGGTCAGAATGCTGTAGATTTAGGGTAAACACACCCACCTAAAGTAAACATTACCAGAACGCAAAAGTGATCCGAGGTGAAGTGTGACCCAGAGCATCACCTGACATGTGCCGAGAGTAGATACAGGATTAATTTGATTGTCTTGCAGCGTGGAGACGTTTTCAATGTACATCCTGGCACAAAATACCCCAGGTAAAAGGCTGAAACAAACTCTGATGGGGAGCACAATTGCTAGAGGGCTCCAAAAGGAATCCTTTGTTGTGCAATATTTAATACA